AGAGTTAATAAAAAAACTAATACTTGACAAAAGTTTTAATTATATGTGAATGACTACATCCAAATTTTAAATTTGTTAAATTATTCAATTTTCTTTGAAACGTGAAGTTGTTTGAGCTAAATAAGTGTCAAAATATATGTTTTTATTCTCTTTATACTGTTTTATAACCAGTTGGTTCATTGATAAGTTCTTCAAGTAGTAAACTATTTTTGAACACCCAGTTGATACTAGATTTATACTTCATAATAAACCAGAAAAACAATCGCTTAACTCAAAATTGTGACAACGTTTACAAATTCTTAATTTACTAATCTAAATTTTTACACTAACTTGATGAGATTTATGTTCCATTCTTTAACCAGAGAGGAGGTACTGCAAAGGTAGAACTAACTTCTGATGATAATAATCGAATGGACATCAAACATATAAAAATATATTTAATTAACTTCTGAAGATTGGGCATCTACCTAATATATAAAATCAATATAATAAAAAAAATTATTTTAAACAAACGCTACACAGACATATTAGAACAGAACAAAGTTCTCTTATTAATAAACTAAGGATCTTATATAGCTCTTCTTACATGTAAATCGCCTTTTTTTTTTTTTTTAATTTTTTAAATATTCAAACTAAATTTGATGACAACAACCAAGACAAAAACTTGTCTATAAAATGAATTTTCGCCAGGTTCAAAACACACAACACACTTTCTCAGCTTAGAGGCTTGAAGCTTCCTACCAGCTTTGTGGTGCAATTCAAAGCATTTTAAAACAAAACGCAGCTTCTGCTCCTGATTTCCTACTGAATGCAACTGTCTTAATTCTTTATTTATGCTACTATGCAAACACTCTCCCTCCCCTTCATCCAGCAACCCAATAGTTTTATGCAATTTTACAAATAGTGGTACATTGAAAACGAGTTCATGCATTTTTTGCGTGATACTTTCTTTTGAAAAGCAAGCATGAAACTCAATAGAAAATAAATTTATATATTGATGAGGCTCAGTAATTTCGGCATCAGAAAGAAATTTTGGCTTAAAAAGAATAGGTTGCAACTTATTAAAAACACAAAACACACGTACAAATCTATTTTTAATCGCCTCATCATCAATAACACTACAAAGTTTATAGTGGTTTCTTAACACTATTTTGCAATGATTACCCACAAATACATTACTGTGGTAAGCATGTCGCTCAACCTTCATATCTTCAAGAGCCTTGTAAAGAAACCTCTCACGGGTTCCCATGCTACTTTTTATATATTTTTTGTAGGTCTTCACATTCTATCTGCAACCAAATATACTCAACGTCTAAAACTTCCCGTTGTGCCCGTATAAAAGAAATTTTTTCAGAAATATAAAAATCAAAACATTCTATATCTTCACCCTGACATGCTAAACACTCATACTTCTCTATGTCACCCAATACACTCTTTTCCGAATTACCAATAATTTCACAAAATTGATAAAACAATTTTTGGCACATATCACACCCAATTAATGTAGCAATTATAATTTGTAATTAAACACCTGAAACTAGCACACGTTTTTTGCTGTTTACAGGTTTTTTTTTTATTGGAGGAGTTTAGGAATATGCATTCAGAAATTAATTTTTATTCAGAAATATTTTTATTAAAAGCTAACCAACGCGCCTGTAGATTTGCAATGTCTATAAATTGATTTCCTAAGAAACGCAAAGCTTCTGCTTTTTTGAACATTCAACGCTTTTAGCAGCCCACAATTCATACGTTCTCACATTCTCATTATGCGACAAAGACGAATCAGCTTGACAACCTAAAGTTTTACACTCCTTCAACAATAACTTATACAGTTATAACACAACTCTTAACATAATATGCAAACAGATGGCACAAAATTATTTAAAGTTATTATGGGAAAAATCACAGGAGCAATAATTGATTTATGAAACTTATTTAAAGCACTTAGTTTTCCACCTTGTCTATCTTCACAAAAGTTCTCATTGTAAGCACTTTCTAGAGATTGTATTGTCCTCCTTAAGATGTTACAATTAGCAGATGTGTGAGGCATAGAAGCATAGTTTCTTAGAGATTTCAACTCAACTAGGTCTGTAGAACTAGGAAAACTAGCAGCTGAAACCTGGTGTCCCAGAACATCATTGATGAAATGAAAATCTCCACCTAAGAACAACCTGACTATTTTTCCTTTTAGCTTAAAATCTGACGACTGAATTCTTTTTATGTCGCTGGCATAATGCTCGAGAATTAAGGCAATATTCTCATACCTACAAAATAAATGAACATCAAATAAAGACCCTGATGATTTAGAATTGAAAACTTTAAAATGGAACTTCATATACTTCCCACCCTTATCCCCAGCAAAAAGGAGCCATACCTCTTCGTCAAAACCAACATCAAAGTTGAAGTGGTCACGAACGTGAAGACCTATTCAATATAAGTTGTCAAATTCCTGAACATCAGTACAGATACTAAAAAAAGTGCTTCATTTGTAGATGGATAAAGTAACATGGACTTCACAGTGACATGTTCTTTACAAACATGTATTGTCCGCATTACTTGTTCTTGTCTTATCTTGGGCTCAGATGGGAGAATCCTTTCACCAAGATTACACAGAATTTGTCTTAGCCTATGGAATTCAGCCGTGGGCATCCTTAATTGGCTCTGCAACTCTACAGCATCTGATACACTTAGCTGCCTAACTAAACCCAACTTATTTGCAACACAACAAAATATTGACTTTTCACAAGACATAGAATCACAAAACAATATAGAAAAATCACTTTCAAAATCTGAACAAGCTAATTATCAAAGGAATATAAAAGCAAGTTTAGACCGCTTAGCTGCAGCATGCCTACCTAACTTAGAATAAGATTTACCATGTCCTAACTTAATGTAAGTGTATTTTTTAACAACTATTGGATTTTTTACTGATATAGTCTGTGGATTACTTTATTTAAATCCACAAAACAATTCAGAGGAACCAATGCTGTCATAGTCTAAATAAGAATCGATCACAACTAAATCCTTATCACTGCTAGCAAAACATTGAAAAATTTGGCAACTGTTCTAATTTATATCACTAATTTTCGCAACTTTTTTTTCAAATTTAATTTTTTTTAGCAATCTTACATTTTTGGCACGAGCAGATGCAAATTAACGTTGTACTATTTTAATTTTTTTTTTTAAAAAAAGTTGGAACTGCTCCTCCCGTTTTAGTCTAATACTCATAGTCTCTAATTGAGAATTTAATGAGTTATAATGTGTGTGGAGAACCCTATAAAATTAGATGAGCAGCTATATATAGTCTTAAATGTTCTAGAATATTCCAGAATTTTCTAAACTGTTCTAGAATGTTCCAAAATATTTTAAATTGTTCTAGAATGTTCTTAATTGTTCAAGAATGTTTTAAATTGTTATAGAATGTTTTAAAGTCTTCTAAAAGATTCTGTTATTTTCCAAAATGTTTTAAAGTTTGAAACACTTCTAATCTTTACAAGTTGTAAATGATTTGCAGGAAAGCTACACGTATTTGTAGTAGCAGTAACAAGAATAAATAAATTACGAAACGCAAGTTGAATTGCGGGGTGACCTTGTTTTACAACCGAGAGGAATTGAAAATGTTTTCAAAGTTTTCTAATAAGAGTTCGCCGATTTATGACACAGGAAATTAATTATTTTTTAAAAAGTCAAAAAGTCATAACCCTAGTGAGCATTCGTCGGCTAGCAATTTAGTATAGGCGCAATATAGTATATAAATATATATAGACTGACTATCTGGGGGTAGCCGCAGTGAAGTGGAAATATATCGACGAGGGTTTTGGCTTAGGCAGGAAATCTTTTGATTTTTAAAAAAAGTACTTCTTAACGTTTATTTTATTTATTGGCACGTTACTTATTTTATTAAAAATTAAAATCAAATTATATTCAAATAAATGTAAATAAACTTTTTATTATTACTTTAGATTATATTTCTTTCAAAATACATGAGAGGCATAATTGCATAATTACGTCACGCATGAGAGTGGGTGAGTGGATTCCTTGAAAGCGTGACAAAACGATATGTGGGTGGGTAAGTTGAGACAAAAGTGACGTCACGCTATTTGCATTTTATAATAGACCACCTAGACCAAAAGAATACTGACTGCAGTCAGGGACTGCAGCAATCACAAGCCACTTGACGTCACGGAACAATGCATGGTTGCATTTTCTATAATAGAATGCCTACTAAAATTATTCTCCATAGTAAAATGCAATACTTTTTTTTGTTTATAGTTATATATGTTTTGTTGTATATCCGCATAATATTAAAATTCAAACATCCTGATCACTAATCGTATTTATAAAGGCTTCGTATAAATTAAGGTTTTTTAATAAACTTCAGATTTTCAAAAGAAAGAAAAAAAAAATGAATGGAATTCCATTTGATTGAGTGCGGAAATTAAATGCTTATTTTACTGTTCTCTTTTGTAGATAGTTCGTTCTAACTTCGTGTCATATTGAAATGGTGAAAAATTTGGGAATATTTCTCGAATTCTTATTAAAATAATTTTTTTGCCAAAAAGTAACTCTGTAATGGTTGTGTAAATTTTATGGCTTTTAGTTTTATTATATTATAAACTAGTTTTGAATAATAAAAAAACGTCTTTACGTGTTTATAAATATGGTTACATGTGTAATTGTTAATGTGTTTATATAGGTACGTGGGCTGACTTTTTTAAATTGATCAAATGCAAGATATTATATATCATTAGAAAGCCCCGTAATGTAATATTTTAAAGGTGAAAAAATTATGAAAATTAGACAATTTTATAAAAAGTTTTTATAGAATTTTCACATAAATTGTTATAACTTTGCCTATTCCTATTCAAATATCTATAACTTGGTATCAAAGATAGATGTAGAAATGGGCTATAATTTAAAACTAGTTTCTAGGTAAAGGGCGATTGTTCATTTGTGATATTCAATAATCATTCGGAAACATTTCTAAATAATAAATTTACCAGCAGAAGGTTGTACAACTTGTTAAGTTTGTAGAACTAAAGGTAAAAAAAGCTTGTAAAAAAATTAAATTTTATTTGCAATTGGTAAGAAAGACATACACATATTAGAAATAATTTTTTTACACAAGCATTACACATGCACATATTAGAAAACAATAGTTTTTAAACTTAACATTTGTAGCAGCTGAAGATGTAACTAAAGGTTTACAAAGTTGTAATAAGAAATAAATATTGCATTTGCTGGGAAATGCATAAACATATTGAAAAGTAATAGTTTGTAAGCATACCAGTTGCAGCAGATGTCGATGGAACTAAGGTTAAAAAAGATATAAAATATAAATAAAAAATAAATATTGCAATTAATGTGAAATATATACATATATGAACAAGTTTTTTGTAGTATACAATAAAAAACATTTTAAAATTTACCACTCAATGCAGTTGTAGATGGAACTAAGGTTAAAAAGTTTTAATAAAAAATAAATTTGCAATTGTCGAGAAATGAATTCATATTAAAAAGTAATAATTATTAAACTTACTTAAGATAGTAGCTAAAGTTAAAAAGTTTCAATAAAAAATAAATATTGCAATTTGAAATTAGTATTAAATCTTAAAATAACCATAGCAACTGATGAAAGGAGTGAAGATTACAAATAATATAAATTAAATAAAAACGTACATGCTTATATTTTTTATTCTATAATCATTACAAAACGTTATGCTATACAAACTTACCAGTGGTAGGCTGTGTTTATTGGACTAAAGATAAAAAAAAAATTGTTCAATTACACAAAATGTTATGAAATTGTCATCAATAATTTGCAAAAGTAACAATCGTTAAATCAGTTCTGTGTGAGGTGCAACAACTATATTAACAAAATGAAAATAAACAATGAAAATATAAAGAAAGTTCATTTTTAAACAACAAGCTAACACTAGGAATGTTTATTTAATTATGTAAACAATAAACAAAGATAAAGTCATTGTTAGGTCAGGAGTATGGTCTTGATGATTACCCTACTGCCTTGTGGGATTTGCTTTCTAAGCAAAGGCTGGATGGAGTGTGCTTCCTGTCATCAGTACTATCTTATATTAGTCATGTCTGTGGTAATATTTTTTTGTTTTTTTTTTATTTTTGTTTTTATTTTTTTTTTAATTTAATTTAATTTTTTTTTTTTTTGATTGCTTGTTTTTTATATAGTTGGAGGTGCCTTACTTACTGTATTAGCACCCCTATAATCTACTTTAAATGTATGTTTGTGTTCTGTCTGAACCTCTGGCGTGGTGTTCACTCACCCGTAAGTTACTTTATGCATATTTGTGTTCTGTCTAAACCTCTGGCGCGGTGTTGACTCTCCCATAAAATGTTATCTGTATGTTCGAGTTCTGTCTGAACCTCTGGCACGGTGTTGACTCATTCCTAAGTTGATTTATGTTAGTTTGTGTTCTGTTTAAATCTTTGATGCAGCATGAGCTCAGTAACTACTTACTCCAACTATAAAACCTACGCTCACCTTACGTACATATGTTTATGCTACGACTCCTGTATTTCGTTAGTTCAGTGTTATTTTTTTGTTTACATTAGTTTGTCGTTGTACAATTATATAGTGATAATAAAAAAAAAAAGAAAAAAAAAATTACTAGTTACAATTACCTTTCACAAGTTTACAATGATAAACTATATAAACAAGGTGACTAAAAGAAGATTACGAAGAACTTGTCATCAGAACCTTTATTTTTTCCTAATGCACTTACAAAATGTCATGCCAGGTGTTTTTAAAGTACCTGTCATAAGATAGCGTCTCGATAAAAATACTTATCTTAGGCAGATGTTAACTACATCTAGCTAAACTTCTCCTGCCTTGGAGCTCTTGGTTGAGTAAAGGCTGGAGATGGTGTCTTGATAATAAAACTCATCTTGAGTAGATGTTAACTGCATCCAGTTACTGTCTTGTAGTTGGCCTCCTTGGCAAAGACTTTAGGGGTAAGCAGAAAAATTCTGCTAACCAGCCTCGAACCCTTTCTTCATCTACTAGTCTAGCGTAAATGTAAACCTGTGTTACATTACTTCCTGCCTATATTGGTGAATGCTGGATCTTCTTAATTTGAGGACTAATAAGGAGCACTATGTCATGACTTAGGGTTACTTTACAGGACTAAGACAACAGCATAACTCATTTCTTAGAGGCTGTGCTCTATCTATGAATAAATCAAACCTAAATCATGCCAAAAGAAACCCAAAATTTTAAACTTAAAAAGCCATCCCCACAACCTAACTGTTTTAATATATCTTTTACAAATAATCGTGGTCTGAAAACCAGTCTTCTATCAGTTGAATCTTACCTCCTTAAAAATTCACCAGACTTCCTTGCTCTCAGTGAGACTAATCTAATTTCTACAATTCCTTCTTCAGATGTCAGTATTAATGGGTACTATCCTTTGATTCACAAAGACTCCAGTAGTCACATGCTAGGCTTGGGGATATACATACGCATTAATTCCCCTATTTGTTGTGAAATCAGGTTCGAATCCTTTGACCATTCTTTTATGTGCTTCCGCCTAGCACCTCTTCACTCTATCCCTTTTCTCTTCATTCTTTATCGTTCTCCTTTTTCCCATGACTGCACTCTTCTAGATATAATCTTCGATCAAATTGACCTTGTCCTCTTTTTTTAACCCTCTGCCAATATTGTTGTTATATAATGCCCATCACACTAAATGGCTTGGCTTTAACCACACTAACCCTGCTGGCATTTAAGCCTATAACTTATGCGTTTCTCAATCTCTTACTCAGATAGTTAACTCTGTGAATCGTTTTCCTGAAAACCCTAATCATTTACCTTCACTCCTTGATTTATGTCATGTCTTTGACCCTAGCTTATGTCTAGTTTCTCCTTTTTCTCCTTTAGGTTGTTCTGACCATGCAAAGATCTTTATAAATCTTTCCTTTCGTACTTCTTTTTCGGGCCCACCATATCATCGTACCACCTACTACTACCCTAAAGCTGACTGGGATTTTTTTCTCGATTTTCTTTGTAATCGTCGTTGGGCTGAAACCTCCTGGGTTCAGGCAGAAATGGAAGTTTTTATTCTTTCTCTTCGGTTCCAAGTCAAGCCTCGTTCTACTCCATGGTTTTCAGTTTATTGTGCAGCTGCTATATCTAATCGTAATCATCTTTTTTAAAAGAACAACTCTCTTAAGAACAAACGGTTATTTATTATTGCAAGAAATCAATGTAAAGAGGTGCTTTCTGATCCTTAACTCCATTATTCTCAGTTCATTAAATCTCGCATTTTATCACAGAAGTTAGGCTCTAAAGACTTTTGGAAAATCTTCAACAGTATTATTAAAAAGGGTAGATCTAACATTTTATCTCTCATTCATGGGACTGATCTTATTACCTCTACCAAGTATAAGGCAGAATTATTTGCAAAGAACTTTTCTTCTTATTATACTCTTGAATCTTATGCCCATTCTTTTCCTTCCATTCCAATTAAACAGGTTGACCCATTGTTAGACATTCAAATCACTCAGGCATCCGTTACAAAAGTCATATCTCAATTAAACTCGTGTACAGCTTGTAGTTTAGACAACATTTCTGTCACAGTCTTGCAGAATTGTTCTCCTGAACTTTCTTCAATTCTTTCTAAACTATTGTATAAGTGCTTGACTGAGTCTTGCTTTCCTGCTTGCTGGAAAATGGCATCTGTTGTTCCAATTTTGAAAAACTCTTGAAAACATTCTGACCCTTCCAATTGTGATCCATTCAGTCTTCCTTCTGTTATAAGCAAGGTCGTTGAGTCTTTGATCAACAAACTTCTTACATATCATCTTGAGTCAAATAAACTACTGTCAAACAATCAATACGGTTTCCGATCCTCTCGCTCTACGGCTGACTTGCTAAATGCTGTAAATGAAAGATTTTATCGTGCATTAGATGGAGGCGGTGAGGTTAGGGTATTGCTCTTAACATATCTAAAGCTTTCGACAAAGTTTGGCATGCTGGTTTTCTTCACAAGCTTGTTTCATATGGTGTGACTGGGAAAGTTTTTGAGATTATCAAATCATTTCTTTCCAACCGCTATATTAAAATCATCCTTGTAGGCCAACACTCGTCTTTATTTCCAGTAACTTCTGGGGTACGTGAAGGTTCCATCCTGCGCCCTGTTTTGTTTTTTATCTGCATTAACGTTCTTCCTTACAACCTTACATCTAAAGTAGCTCTTACCGCTGATGACTCAACTTTATACTCTTGTCTTGACAAAGAGTCTTCTCTTTTTGATCGCTTAGAACAGACAGCCGATCTTGAATCTAATCTGACTCCTGTAATAGATTGGGGCCCACAGTGGCTTGTGAATTTTAAATCTAACAAAACTCAGTTATTTACTATTGCAATATGGTTAACATTCCTACATTAATGAATGGCAATCCTCTTACTAAGTCTTCCTCTTTACATCTTCTTGGATTATTGTTTAATACTGACTTTTCATGGAAACCATATATATAATCGATTGCTATATTAGCTTTGTGCTTACCATTTTCTTACTCCAGATTCCATTCTCTAACTCTTAAAATCTCTTATTTGTCCCTGTATGGAATACTGCTGTCATATTTGGGCTTGTTCTTCTAATGATGCTCTTTCTCCAGCTTGAGCCACTTTCCAATCGTCATAAAGTTGCATCTCTTTCTCTTTTCTACAAATACTATCATGGTCACTGCTCAAAGGAGTTATCATCTCTAGTTCCATCAGCTAAAACTCGTTCTCGTTTGACTTGTCATTCAGCTAAGTCTCATTCCTTTACTCTATCTGTACCTGCATGCTCTAAAAACTTTTTTTCGTCTAGTTTTATTCCCTGCACTGCTATTCTTTGGAACTGTCTTCCATCTTCATCTTTTCCTGACTCACGCAACTTTCATCTTTTCAAGTCTACTGTCAACCGTTTCCTTGCTATATAGCTCTATTATTTTTTTGTCTTAGTAACTCCTAACTTAATCGCGGTTGCTTGCAGCTTTGTTGGGAGTGAATGCAAATAAAAAAAAAAAAAGAAAAGTAGTACACAATAAGTAAAAATTATTAACTTAATGTTTTAAGGTATTTTAAAATACTTAAATAGTCAATTTTACTTATTGTATACTACTTTATCTTTGTATTTAAAGATTAACATGATTTTTTGTATGAACAAACCCTAAAATTAATCATAAAAAAATTATAATAAATTATAATTTTTTAATGATTAATTTTAATTAAACATAAAAATATTGTGCTAGGTTCTCAACAAGAAGTAAACATTAGGCATGCTTGAATAAAGATTTAAACAGTAATCCAAAGATTAGGAATTAAGTAGTGTGCGGCCGTGGCGCAGTGGTTAGAGCGCTTGCTTTAAAAAAAAAGCAGGAGATCCAGGTTCGAAACGAGCTCTGGATATACACGGTTAGCCTTAACTAATAATAGGTTTTTTGAATTGTGTCCAAATTAATTTCAACGTTTTCTGAGAGAGTATAGTTTACTTATCACTATGTATATAGTCCACCAAATCAGAAAACTCCTATTAAGTAATTATGGCGTTTTAAAGATTTTTTCGCGCCTTTTTTTCGCGCTTTTTTTGTCTTCTACGGCCATCTTTAATCCGCCATTTTTTCTGCCACAGATTTAATTGCAAAAGACAATCATAGAACAAATTTTGTTAAAAAAATGTTAAGAATTGGTAAATTACATCCTCAGACTATTTTAGATCATCAAAAGAACAGAGAAAAAGTATGCCTTTTTTGTGGTCGCAAATGTCATATGAAAATAAACAGCAAAAGCCATTTAATTTCTAAATTTCAGAGCTGTTTTTCGGATTATAACATTGCTGATAACCGATATCCTACTGGATTGTGTCCAAGGTTGGTATACTTGATTGATTTTTATTTAAGTAAATATATAAAAAGTAAATATGTCATAAATGTTAAACCATTAATGAATGGTTTTACGTTTATGACATATTTACTTTTTACTACGAGGTATCCAATTTTTCAGTAATGTGAATTCACATAGCTGAAAAATGGGATACCTTGTTAAACTCAAAGAAATAGCGTTGTTGGATTGCATCATAAATGCAATCCAACAACGCTCAGGTAGAAAACGTGTTTATAACTTTGAATATTTGACTTTGAAAGATTGTATAACATGTTCTATAGAAAACAATTTCTATGTAAATTATTTTTTCAGAAATAACATATCAGCTGCACCAGGATATCAAGGTATTAAAAAAGCTGTATTATTTTGCGTTACTAATAGAGAGATAAGTGAAAGAAATGTTAAGATTAATAAATCAAAAATGATGATTTTAATTTAACCTTAGTAAGCTTTTGAACCTTAGCAAGCTTTTATTTAGATGTCAAGGAACAAATGGCTTCCCACGTTATTAAAGAAAAGCTATGCAGTGAAAGTGGTAACACCATTTCATTGAAGACAGGAGGTAGTAAGCTAAAATTATCTATTGGATCTGAGAATACTCCAAAAACAACTAATTTTACTCACAAAAATCTTCTTTGCATACAGAATTCTCTTTCCTTAAGTAATCATCAAATTATAAAACTTGCTAATATGATAAGGTAAAATTACAATACTAATACAAATTCTGCACAATAAAATGATGCAATACTTGTAGCAAAATTTAGTATTAAAAAAAATTATTAATTACAGAGTTGTTGAAAAAAGAAGAAACGCTGTAGAACCTGGACTGAAAGACTGTGTCTCTGATTTGGATAGTTATCTTCTCCCATTATTTACTGAAGAAAATATTTTATTTGAATTTAAAAATAAAGATAAAACTTTGGAATATAAAAATACTACAGTCGCGTACTGCAATGATGTTACTCTTTTTGTTAAACTGCTCCTGGATCTTAAATGTGTTGATTCTAAGAATCAGTTGTTTAAAATTGCTGTTGATGGGGGAAGTGGTTTTATCAAATTTTGTTTAAACATAGTTGATATCAATGAAATTTTTGAAAATTACGGCAAGTTTGACATAGATCACCTTAAAACAAAACCCGTAACAGCTTGCAGGGGTTCATATAAAGATGGTCTAATAAAGAAATTCAAAGATTCGTCAGTAAATGCTTCATTTCTTCTTCTGGTAGCTCCAGAGATCCCAGAAAGATATTTTAACATTAAAATATTATTTGAAAAACTAAATCTTGATAAAGTTGAGCACATTGGGGTATGCGACATAAAACTTAGTCAAATTCTGACAGGTATATCTCCAAGTAGCAGTTCGATTCATCCCTGTTATGTATGTGAGTGGGATAGAAGAGAAACTTGGAAAAATGCTCCATACAGAACCTTTGAGAGCTGTCAAGAAAACTATACAAAATTCAAAGAATCTGGTTCAAAACCTAAGTGTGCACAACATTTTAAGAATTGTATAAACCCTGTATTAGTACATGGAAACCCCTCTGAATTTCTTATAGATAGACTTGTTTTACCGGAGCTTCATATAATGGACGGAACAGTCAATCATGTAATGGATAACATGGAGCAGATTTGGTCGGAAATGAGTATGAAGGAGATTTATGAACAGTTGCAAATTATTAAGACTGGTCAGCATGGTGGAAAATTTAATGGAAATTCTTCTCGAAAAATTCTTAAAAAGTGGGAAGTGTTTTATGATAAGCTGCCAATTAAACTAAAGTCTTTTGGAGAATGCTTAAGGTTATTAAATTTAGTTGTTGAGTCTTGCTTTACATCCGGACTTGATGAAAACTTTCAAACTAATATCGAAAATTCAAAAGCCTGCTATAAAAAGTTGATGTTAGAACATGGTATTACTTTAACGCCAAAATTCCATATCCTGTTCAATCATGTATCTGAATTCTGTAAAACAAAAAAAATGGGCCTTGGAGTTTATTCGGAGCAATCTGGAGAAAGTGTTCACTATCTCTTCAAAACTGCCTCATGGAACCGCTACAAGGTGTCCGCAAATAATTCTAATTATGAACATAATTTAGTAAGGGCATTAAGTTCTTATAATGGAAAACATCTTGTTTCTCTTGGAAATGTTGATATTTTTTAGTGATTTACTTTGACAAGAAACAGTTTTTAATTTTATATTTGTAAATATATGTTCATTTGATGATTCAAAACATTCTTATTATGTGATTATCTACTCTTTAACAATGTAATATAACAAAATACATTCTGTATTATTAGTTGCTAATAAATTGTCTGTAACTTTTAACTAAAATTAACAACAAAATTTTGAATGAAAACATGGCGGACCAAAAAATGGCGCAAAACACTTGCAAAAAAAGCGCGAAAAAATCTTTAAAACGCCATAATTACTTAATAGGAGTTTTCTGATTTGGTGGACTATATACATAGTGATAAGTAAACTATACTCTCTCAGAAAACGTTGAAATTAATTTGGACACAATTCAAAAAACCTAATATTAGTTAAGGCTAACCGTGTATATATTTCGCGTCACGGTAAGGAAGGAGGCGTGAGCTTTCTGATTAAATGCACTTCCACGATGCTCTGTGACAAGACCGTAAGGTCTTCTTGGGGGACCTAAAACATAAATTAAAAAAAAAAAAAATTAAAAAAAGTATGCAATTCGAAAATGAGAAAATGTAACAATAATATCTCTTTTTATATTTGTAAAACACTAACAAGTTTAGAATAAATCAATGTTGAATGTGATGTGTATGACTATGTTGTGTCTCAATAAAATTGGCAACTGATAATATTAGTTTACAAACAACTCAAAAGCAAAAGTTTTAACGCTTAATCCATTTTAACATAAATCTTATAATAAAAATCAAAATAATAAATTATTGCAATAATTTTTTTTATAGAATCGGCCCCCCGATCTGCCTCCGTACTTCGCTTGCCTAAAAAAAACAACAGAAAAACAGAAATTAGGTTCCAAAAGTAGTACACTAATTAAACAATCTGCTCCTATTTATTTTTCGTTAAAGTTTGGCATGTGCATAGGAAATGCATGTGGAAAATTATCCAAATAATAAAAAAAGGGGGCTCAACATTTCTTCGACTAAAAATTATTCTGAGAACATCAACCAAATTTTTGTGCAAATTTTTGTGCAAAAAAGTATTGTTACCATACATAATAACATATAAAAATCAAGGTTTAACTTTTTCTTTCAATAAACAACTTAGATTTATAAATGTTTCTGAAAAGAATTACCACTAAAAACGTTTGCCTTGGGCAACCTAAAAAAAGTGTTCTACTTAAATTAACACTAATTAAACTATTTGCTCCTATTTCTTTTTCGGTGAAATTTGGCATGTGCATAGAAAATGCATGTAGAAAACAGTCTAAATAATAAAAAAGGGGCTCAATATTTTTTTGACTACAAATATGTCCATGTTAGAACATCAACCATATTTTTAGGAGCAAAACAATCCAAACAATTTCAAACAAGTTAAAAATGGTTATAGCAAAACAAAAAGCAAATTATCTAAGCTATTGGACAAACATTCCAGCAAAGAAAAGATTGCAGAAGGTTGCATCTCTGTCTGGTGAATCGCCTGCTGGTGAACCGCTATTGTGTACAGTAATGAACAAAAATGTTAGCTATACTTCAGTAATCGACGAGTTGAAAATCACCAACGATAAATTAACTATAAAAAATATGAAAAACAAAACCTATTGGAAGATAAACAACGTCATACACCAGAAGAAATCAGAGAAAAAAAACGTTTGGATGAAGTAAATGCAAACATATCTTTTTCTTCCTAGAATATGGTCTTGACATTGTTATTACTCCAAGAGGCTACAGTGCATATAAACCATGTGAACGCAAAATGGCTCTATTAAGTCAAACTCAGATCCAGACCCCTTTGATTTGTATTGTTCATCAGTCTCCTTTGCGGATTTGGAAAACAGAGACTCAAGTCATCTCAAGTTTGTCATCTCAAGTTTGTCATCTCAAGTTTGTCATCTCAAGTTTGTCATCTCAAGTTTGTCATCTCAAGTTTGTCATCTCAAGTTTGTCATCTCAAGTTTGTCATCTCAAGTTTGTCATCTCAAGTTTGTCATCTCAAGTTTGTCATCTCAAGTTTGTGGCTTAAATTTTCCAACTGTTGAAGCCTAGACAAATCATTATCGCATCTGTCGCAGACAAAAAATGAATAGCACCGTATTAGTGAGAGTAGTCAAAAGAAGAATGATGTTGTCGAATTTGCAGATATTAGCGAAAGTTCTGAAAAACACGTCTGCTCAACCGCTTGTGTGAACCAGAAACCGCTGTTTTAACTGTTTGGATCTTTTTTACCTTCTTTTAGTTTTACCTTCGGAACAACATTGAAATTCTCCATGTATAACTAATTTGAAAGAACCAATTATTTAAAGCAGTTTTATCTAGTTAAAATTTTGTAAATACACGGTTTGAAAATCTTAACTTTTTTGGACACAAAACATCCCAAAAAAATCCTTTTAAGGGGTGATTCTACTTACATTTAGGACACATAGCCAAAAAATTGAAATCTTAGATTAAAATCCAAGGAAGATATTTAAATTTGAAATTTATGACTTTTTTCATACATATAGGAGTTATTTTCTTAATTGTTAACCTTTTTTTTTTTTTTTTTTTTTTGCTGAAAACCCTTTATTATAATTGTGACAGAAAGCGACCTATCACCAAATAATAAAAATATCACTCAAAATTTAATTTATTGTAATACATTTTCAACAAAAATTAGTACACTCTAACTTCATAAATATATGTAAACATAACTCTTATTTGATAAGGGATGACTCTTAAATGATTCTATGTCACAATAATTAAACTTTTTTGCTGTTGTAGTCCACAACGCAGTTCAAGAGTTGCTTTGAATACTCAGAATGTGTCAAAGCTCTCTTTTATCTTTGCCAGTGAGTCTTAAATTTTGAATGAAGTGCTTCAGTAGCCAGTTCACTAAAATGTCCTGGGCCAATTTTGTGCTCTCGTAGAAATTGGGGAAGGTGATGAAAGACAGTGTAAACTTTTGGTGTGATTGAAATGGAAAGTTTGAGGTAATTTCTCTTAAATTCTTGAATTCTCTCTTCATAATCTGGCATCAAGGTGCATCCAAAGCACAACAAGACAACTTGATGAAATAAACTCAGTACATGACAGACATGAGATGCTTCAGATGTCTTTTCTGCTAGAGTCAAGGCTTTCAAACTATCAATTCATCTGAGCAATTTCATGCAGCCATTGCCGTTGAAATTACCTCCATGGTATGGTTGAAGTGGTATGTTGATTGAATTCAGCCAGTCGTTTGTTTTGGGCCAACTTTGCATCAAATGCTTGAAGAGGTGGTTCACTACACCCAGAAGCAAATGAAGCTCCATTGCTTCAAGAATCCAATTCTCATCAGGAAAGAGAAGGAGGGGTAAGTGAATCACATTTAAAAAATCCTTTGATTTTTTAACATCAACTCCGTACCTCATGAACTTTTGGTACTGCTCTCTGATGCCACTAAAAGTTCTGAGTTGGCCGCAACTTGCCAAATTTGATGAATCAATGTTACATCAGCAACAGGGGTGTTTGCTACTGTGTGACTGAATTCCACAAAGAATATTTGCCTACCTTAAATCACAATAGACAATTAGGTTTTCTTGAATGCAGGGCTCATTGAGTTGAATCAGCTCCAAAATCAACTTCACATTAGCATATGTCTCAGAAGTGTTCTCTGATATTGCCACTATCAGTTGTTTTTTCACGCTTGTGCTTTTGAAACTTTCATTAGTCAGTTTGAGTGATTTTTGAACTGGACTGCATGGCTCTGGACAGTGTTCAGCTATGAGTCTCAAACTTGCTTTGAAAAAGGCCCCTCCACCATCCATACCTAGCTTGAAAACCTCAACTTTTAAAAGGTCTCTGGATGCAGCAATATTTTCTTTTATGCTGATCAGACTTGTACAATGTACAATACCCCTAAACTCATTTGCTTCTGGCAGCTTCAAGCTTCTTACTGTAAAAAAATCTTTGAACGAAGCACCTGCTGCAGCAAACATTTGTTGAAAATTGGCCTCAAGTAGACAAACTGGACTGATCTGATTTAGAGCCGACCCTAGTTTTTTCATTCTGTTGTTTGACAATTCAATGTTTTGTTGAACTTGCACCATATTTTGCGTTGTTAGAGGCGTTTTAAAGAGTGCCTGAGCTGCTGAGCTGCCTAAAAAAAAAATTTATGTTTTTGTAAAAAAATTATTTTTTTTAGAAAGTATTGAAGATAGTTAATTAATGTACCTTGTCTAATTGCAAGGGGCTTGCCATGGGATTGACTGATCCAAATTGTTCCACCAAGAGGCAACTTGCTCTGCTCCAACAGGATCAAAGCTAGTGCCTTCAAGTCTTCATGGCGCGTTGAAATCGTGCAATCATGAGGCATTCCACATGCAAGGATGGACAGACATTTTTCACATCGTTTCTGAGAAGATTGCTCAGCTTCTTTCACACTTTTGGACGATGAAAGCTTTTCAAAAGGGTGCTTTTCTTTGCCCTTCAGCTTTGCAATTGTACATATGATGCAATCACACGTGGTAGTAAGTCTTGTCAATGGCTTCTTTACAATAAAGTTTAAAACGACAAATGCCTCGAGGAACTCTTTCATCCTCAAAGTTAATGTTCTTTAAGATCAACCAATGAATTTCACTAATGTAAAAATCCGATAGCTCTCTGTCACTTTTTCTCATGCAAATAATGCAAACAACCTTTTTGCAAATGGTCATGATCTTTTGAAAATGTTGGCATTTTCATTTTGTATTTGATTTTAAAAAATCTATTTTTCTGGCGGTGTTGTTCAATTGTAAGGTTAGTAAAACTGCTGGCGTACCAATTGAAATTTTTTGGTTCTAACATTTAGGCGTAAATATCTCCCGTTAAATATTTTGTTACAAAAAATATTATAAAATGAAAAATCTTTAAAAATTTGAAAAATCTTTAAAAATCTTTAAAAATTTAAAAAATCTAAAAATTTGTTTTATACATAAAGTTAAAATAGATGAAGAAAAAGATTGTTAATTTTTGTTTTGAAATTTGCCCAAAACAAGCTAATACTCAAGA